GTACTTGTCAGGGTCCTTTCAACGGATCTCCTTCAAGATGAAACATTTTTTTATTTTAAAGATTTTATTTATTTATTTGACAGAGAGAGACTGCGAGAGAGGGAATACAAGCAGGGGGAGTGGGAGAGGGAGAAGCAGGCCTCCCGCCGAGCAGGGAGCCCGACGTGGGGCTCGATCCCAGAACCCCGGGATCACGACCTGAGCCAAAGGCAGACGCCCAACAACTGAGCCACCCAGGTGCCCCAGGATGAAGCATTTTTCCCTGCAGTTGATTGTAAATGTTCTCAGAGAACAATCAAGAGTAAGACAACGGTCTATGAATGACAAAAGACTTAAAAATAGCCATGGTTACAGATCTGGTGAGAGTTCACTATTAAAAAAATGATACAATTAACAAGAACATTTGGTTATTTCTGTAAAATGCAATGTTTTCAAATAATAATTGGAATTTTGATTGATCATGTAGGCAGTAAGGACATTGACAGATTTCTAGAAATTCTGTACAATTTTTAAATATTGGTAGCATCTACTCATACAAATACGACCTAAAGAAAGTTATTTATCACTTTTATTTGACAATGTTTCCCATGTAATATCACATCTCAAACAAGCTATTAGTTTAATCTCTTTTTATAAGGATAGAGAACAAATCTTTGAGATCATCTAGGGACCCTCTGAGAAATTCCAAAGTTAGTTCAAGGTCAAGAGACTCATTTTGAATTTGATTTTGGGAAATTTGTCAAAAATGTCTAAAAGTTTAGAGCTCCCCTTGACATGGCGCTGAGGGGGCCGCCGGTGCTCTGGCTCTGCGGCTGGCTCTCCAGCTCTGCACTTGGCTGCCCAACTTCTTCCTGCTACTGTTTTCCAAGGATAAGAGAACTAAGACCTAAGTCAAATCTCATTTCCAAGACAGCATTCCAAATTTATTTGTTTATTTTTAGAGACAGAGTGCAAGTCAGGAAGGGACAAGGGAGAAGTAGAGGAAGAGAATCTCAATCAGGCTGCCTGCTGAGTGCACAGCCCAAGGTGGGACTCAATCCCTCGATCCTGAGATTATGACCTGAGCTGAAATCAAGAGTCAGATGCATAACCGACTGAGCCACCCAGGTGCCCCTGGAGGAAAAAGTCTTAATTACCTTTATTTTTATAGACAATATTACAAAAATCATTGGCATATAATGAGGTGATCCAAAATCCTAAGATGTAGGAAAGATTGTAGAGTACTAAGGAGTTAATGAAAATATTGTTATATGTCTAGATTTTGTGATATTTGTGTGGCCATCTTTTAAAATTTATAATTTTTTTATGGGGTGCCTGGGTGGCTCAGCTGGTTAAGCAACTGCCTTCGGCTCAGGTCATGATCCTGAAGTCCCGGGATCGAGTCCCATATCGGGCTCCCTGCTCAGCGGCGAGTCTGCTTCTCCCTTCTCTTGTGCTCTCTGTCATTCTCTCTCTCTCAAATAAATAAAATCTTAAAAAAAAATAAAATTTATAATTTTTTGTGATTTTTGTTCCTCATTCTTTTTTTTTTTTAAGATTTATTTATTTATTTGTCAGAGAGAGAGCAAGAGAGCACAAGCAGGGGGAGCAACAGGCAGAGGGAGAAGCAGGTTTCCCGCGGAGCAGGGAGCCTGATGCAGGACTCGATCCCAGAACCCTGGGATCATGACCTGAGCTGAAGGCAGACTCTTAACTGACTGAGCCACCCAGGTGTCCCGAGACTTTTGTTCTCATTCTTAATAAATATTCACTTATTACCTAAAAAAACAAAAAGCCTAAAGGTTTAAAACACTTAAGTAGTATCCCAATGACAAAATACTTAGTTATCCATCTAATTAAAGTGACCATTAAGAGATTTTAAAGGTAAATATAGAAAGTCACGTAACTGTTAAAAAAAAAAAACCCTTAGATTCTTTAATATTGAAGATTCAGTTTTCTTATGTAATCAAAGACCTGATAAAGACTATGTGAAGCACAGGAAATTATTCTGATAAGATAGAATCTTTATTTCCTTGGCAGATGATATAAAAGGTAAAGAAAAACCTTTTATAATCTATTATTAAAAGCAGACCAATAATCTAAGAAACTGTCATTAAACTTATTTTGTATCAGTATATTATTGAGCTCATTTTTTAAAACTCCTATAAATTATCCATTTAACTTTGGCCAGCTTTGACCTTGCAACATAAAATTTCTTTTCCACAAACCTGCAATTTTCTACATCCACACAGATTTTGTCTTATTCCTTTTCTCTTTCTTATTCTGGAACATTTAGTCATTTTGCTTAAGGACAAAATTACTTCTTTTTTCCTCAACAAAAACACATCTGCCTTTGTCATATACTCTTTATATAAAAACACATCCCATTCTCCAACTATACTTTGTACACAAAGTTTTTTTTCTTTGCTGTTTTTATTTTTAGTTTTATTTTCATATATAGATTATAAATATTATAGATTACAAATTTTAACCATTTAGTAACCTTTATTTTCCAGTGAAAATTAGGAAGCAGGCAATTGTGAACTACTATATATATCAGCATCCTCTAGTAGCTTAGTAAATCTATGAATACATCATTATAAATATTTATAATTTTTAAAGACTTACACTTTTTCACAGTACAGTTTTTTTAATGTAGTAAAAGATATGCTTTTTAACAGACCAAAATATCTTTTTTTCTCTCTATAAAAATTGAGAAGCCAAAAGCAGATAAACTTATATTTAGCAATTAATGTTTTAGTGTATTATCTTATTTAGAAATTATCTAAATATTCAGTGAATATCCATCATTTAATTTAACTTAATATAACTTTAAGGTTTCAAGTTGCCAAAAAGATTTTGGAAACTATTTTTAAGCAGACATAATACTTTGTTTAATGCAACAAAGGCAGCATAATCTTAAGTTATTCTTTAGATAATCACAGGCGAGAACTTAAAAGTTAAAATATATGGCTCTCTCCAACTTTCATTTTGTACTGCTGTGTTTTACATACATGAAGCAATTTATTTTTATTGCATATCTTGTCTTTAAACTGAATTTATAATTTTATAGTCTTAAGCATCTTGTAGAGATAAACTCATTTGATTAGTAAACCCAAGTAGAAAAAGTTGTATCTCTTCATTATGTTTAAGGTTTACAACTCTGAAGACATGATTGTTTTTATTAAACCAACAAACTTAAACTAGCTTTAATTTACCAAAGATTGTCCTAGGTCTTGTGAACCTGAAAAACATTTAGGTTAGTTTCTATATTTCTGAGAGTTTTAGAATACTTAATTTATGTAAGTGCTTATTTTTTTAAACTGATTAAATAGAGCTCTTTTACAAAGTAATTTTGGCAATATCATATGAAAGTTGAAAAATAACACATTACATAACATGTATACCTAAGATGCATACAGACATAGAAAAAGAGATCTTAGAGTTTTCATTTTAAGTCTCAGCCATGAATTAGGTATATATTAAGAAACACAAAATTTATTAACTTATATAAGAGTGATCTTTGCCTTATAATTTTTTATTTCAATTTGATCTTCTTATAGGTAACAATAGGTCATTTGTTTAGGATGAGAACTCTCTAAAAAATCGTTTTAAATAGGGGCGCCTGGGTGGTTCAGTTGGTTAAGTGTCCGACTCTTCATTTCAGCTCAGGTCATGATCTGAGTCCTGGGATCAAGCCCTGCATCAGGCTCCATGCCCAGCATGGATTCTGTCCCTTACTCTCCCTCTGCCCCCTCGACCCCCAGCTCGCACATGCAAACACTCTTTCTCTCAAAAAAAAAAAAAATCCCTTTAATCATAAAAGTCCAAATATTCAAAAGTATACCTTCTTTTTAAAAATGAAGTATAATTGATATACTATATTACATTAGTTTCAGGTGTACAACATATTGATTCAACAATTCTATACATTACTCAGTGCTCACCATGATACATGTAGTTACCATCTGTCATATAATGTTATTACAATATTCCCTATGCTGTACTTTTCATCTCTATGACTTACTATATTTAACTGGAAGTTTCTACCTCTTAATCCCCTTTATTTTGCCACTTCCCACTTCCCCTCTGGTAACCACCAGTTGGTTCTTTGCACTGAAGAGTCTGTTTGTTCATGTTTTGTTTTCTAGGTTCCACATATAAGTGAAATCATATGGTATTATCTTTCTCTCTCTGACTTATTTCAGAAAATATACGTATTTGAATTGTGACTCAAAAACAAAATGCCTTTTTATGGCTTACAATCAAAGTCTTTTATGGCTTAATCATAGACACAAGAGGAGTCCCCAGAGAGAGTGCAAAGGATGCAGCCCTCCCCAAATCCAGTAAGTTCATTCCCAGAGTTAGCATAAGAGTGCCAAGACTTTCACTGTTACTGGAGTAAGAATAGTGTTTGTGAAACTACTGTCTCTTGTTATCTATGGGAAGATGAGATGCCTCCAGCTATAGCCCAGCTTATCTGTGGTGCTGGGTGGGTGAAATCAGGATGAGAGTTTCCTAACGCTATGAAGGCAATGAAAGTGAGACAACAAAGGCCCTTCATGGACTGGGACCTCTCATTAAGACAAACTTCCTGAAGAGCTGGTGATATTGGACAAAGAGAATGCTGCTTGTCATTTTGTGTCTTGGGTTTGCAGCCTGTTTGTCTGGTTCCCTGACGCAAGCCAACACTTGTACTCTCCGTGTGATAGAGATCCTAAGCCAAGCTCTCCTCAAGACATAAAATAGGATGAAAGGAACATGCTCTGATTTTTCCCCCTTATGATAAACACCACAAAAGACAGAGAAGGAAAACAATCCTAGGAGGCTATGGATTATACCAGTGGTTACCCAAAACCAAATTTACAAGAGTCACAATTCAAAGAACTAATTTTGACAAACATTTTTCTCCTGTCAATCTATATTTAGAAAGATAAAACATACAGGAAGACTCTTACTGTTCTCCTTTTGGCTGGGCCTGCAGGCAGAAATCTGAGATACTGATGTGGTAAGGATCTTACCTTCTCCTGGCCTTTGGTCAGATGGGACCTGATCTCTTAGTGTTACGGTCACTGATGTCCCATCATTGTCACCAGGAATTGTAGGGGAGGCAATATTTTACCTCTGTCTTCTCAGAGTTTTTCAGCTGATCCTGAGAATTAAACTGATAGAAGACAGATTAATAGGAGAAAAGCACACAAATCTATGTTTTATGTGATGCAGGAGCTCTCTCTCATAAGGTAGATCTAAAGAAATGACAAAACTTACAGGCTTTTATATTAGGTTGAACAAAGAAAGGCAATTGTGGAAAAATATCTAAACTATATGGGGAGGCCATAGGAAGATAAGTATTTTAACATGGCAAAGGGGCATATTTGGAGCTGGCATAGCCTGCCACCCTTCGAGAACCGAAAAGTCAATAGTAGGATACAAGGAATGATTTAGAAGGGCCAAGAACATATCAGCTATATTTTTGTTTCACCTAGATTGAAGTTGTTGAATAACTGAGGGTCAGATGATTCACTTCCATGTGAAAACCAAACTTATCTCACAGATCTAGTATTTGTTCAATACTCAGCGTTAAGTTTCACCCTCCTTTTATAGATGGGGAAATGAATCTACAAGGACCTGTGTATACTTGTTCAAACTGGCAATAGATGGATAGTGGAAATGTTAGAAAACCTGGTAAAATTGTTTTTTTCCCCCTTAATAACAGGCTTTAAAAATATGTTTAAAGTAGATGGATTCTGGATGTCATAATTGAGTACAGGGCAAGGTAGAAATGACCAAGTGATTTGCAGAGAATCACTGGCATCACTAGAAATTTGACTCTCTTGTGAAAAGTGGCCCGAAACTCTTTCTACACAATGAAAGTGAGCATCTCTGATGCATTCTAGCTGGCTGTAACAGGTTCTCCACTGTAACTACAAAGGAAGTTGTGTTCAACTTTAGTTTTATCAACACGGGTATTTTTAATGTGAAATAGTTACTCTTAAATAGTTCGCATTCTCATGAAATCTGTAAAGATAAAGCATGGTAAAAATTACTAATTCTAGGAGTGCCATGGAGACGTATGTAGGATTCCATGCTACTCACTGGGGGGAAACACAAAGATGATAAGCACAAGGCAAAATGACTTGATCTTGTTTTGGAGATGGCAAATGTGGCTTGGTAGAAAGATTATGGGGTTTGCCAGCAAACAGATTTAGATTTCAATCCCATTTTTGTCACCTAACAGCTGTGTGATGTTGGGCAAGCTACTTGTCTCACTGAGTTTCAGTTTTCCCATCTATGAAATTCAGATGAATAGATGAATACTTGCATAGGGTTGTTGGGAAGATAGAGTGAAGAACCTCATCAAAACCGTTTAAAAAGACATTGGCAGAAAAATATACGAGTTAAAAAATGACACATGCCATAAGAAAAGCGTTTCCTCAGAGCAGGAAGAGGCAGTGTTTACATAAAAAAATTAATGCTTAACCTTCCTTGTTTTTTGTTTTTTAAAATATCATGAAATTCCAAGGGATTCATAATAGCTATAACAACATTATGTGTAGCGTATGTGTTTCTGGTGTTTATTCCTATATATTTTCTCAGTAATACATGGTATTTCTCTTTAGGTTGTCAACTATTTGTAAATAGGTGTAAATTATTTTTGCTTGGAGGAATTTACCTTCATTTACAGAACTGTGTTTCTATAGCAAGGATCAAAAGCACATACAGGTATTTCATATTTGAATAAAACTACAGTGCAGTTGATTCCAATATATGGCAGCCCAAACATCAGGGCTCTTGTTGCAAGATGGGGAAAGCATTTGAATGATTACTTTCTTTGGTATTATTACACTACTACATAGAGGTTAGACTCTGGGCAAAATCCTTCATTGCCTTTTGTGGAGACTATCACTCACTTTTTTTTTTTTAAGAATTTATTTATTTATTTGAGAGGGAGAGAGAGAGAGAGAGAGAGAAACAGCATGAGAGGGGAGAGGGTCAGAGGGAGAAGCAGGCTCCCTGCTGAGCCAGGAGCGTGATGTGGGACTCGATCCCAGGGATCGAGACCTGAGCCGAAGGCAGTCGCTTAACCAGCTGAGCCACCCAGATGCCTTATTACTCAATTTTTGTAGATATATGAATTCTTTGAATTCACTTAAGAATGATGGTGCACTTAGGGACAATGGTCAATACAACATGCCTTCCCATGAGTTTGTACCATCTTGGAGAGTGAACCACTGTTCTAATTTTAGATCCTCCTCCAGAAAGCTCATCTGGGGGGGGCTTGTGGAGGGATGTCTCTGCTGGAGGTGCATGTTACATACACATTGACTTGAATCAAATGAGATGCCTTTATGCTCTCAACCCTAATGTTATTTTTGAAAATCATAATGTGCTCATTAAGCAATTACTTAATTTCTTCATGTGGTTTCCTCAGAACTAAATAATAGGTTATATTTTTATATAACTATTTGAAAAAAACCATGATGTTTGCACAAAAATGTAAAAATTTGCAATGAAAGTATTCTCCAGAAATAGTGTCTAATTGCACATGCTGATAAATCCCAGCAGTGGCTTACTTAGTTCTGGTCTTCTAAGAATATGCCCCTAAATTCCCTAAGCGTTTAGATCGTTAGATAGCTGGCATTTACACATTATTTTTATATGTATTTCCTCATCCTGAATTACACTGGAATGATCCATTTGTCTGTCTTCCTATTAGACCCTATGCTCTTTGGAAAAATTATATGCCTAGTTCAGGGACAAGTACTTTAAACAAAGGCATTTATCTGAACTGAACAACTTAATGACTAAATTAACAAATATGAATCATGTAGTCTTTTTAAATTTTTTTTTATTTTTTAAAGATTTTATTTATTTGATAGAGAAAGCACAGGTAGACAAAGCTGCAGACAGAGGGAGAGGGAGAAGCAGACTCTCCGCTGAGCAGGGAGCCCCACGTGGGAACCTGGGATCATGACCTGAGCCCAAGGCATATGCTTAACGAACTGGGCCACCCAGTTGCCCCTGAATCACACAGTCTTCAATTCTTTTGCAGCTGGTGCTCTTTCACAGGCTAGAATTTGGCCCAGAGTTCTTATGTTTGTTTTGGAAAGGTTACTATTGACCCATTTATAACAAGTGATTCACCTGGCCCTGGCTATTTTCAGAATTCTGCTACTGGTCTGGATTCCAGGCACACAACATCTGGCCTAACCTAGTGGAATGCCTCATCCCTGAGGGCAAGCAGCTGCGTCAGCTGTGTGTTCTGTGTCCTGCAGGAATGACTGCGCATGGTGCTGGACTGTGAGCTCCACCAGGGCGGAAGCTATGGTATTAACTAATTAATTAATTATTTTTTTAGAAGCTATGGTATTTAAGTTAAAGTTTCCTGGGTTCAGTACTTAGGTCAGCCACGAGGTAGGGAGCTCACTCAACTTCTGTAGTTTCCAACCGGGTGCAGCATCATGGGTGCTTTGGTACCACTAACAGGGCCAGGCACTGAAACAAGCTCTAAATCCTCAAAGAAAAATTGGTTTGAACCATCTTAGCTGATCCTTAACTATCAACCCCTGTGCGCTAGTCACTGCGCCAAGAGCTTTCACTCACTTTAAATTCTCACAATCCTTTTTCTTTCTACGGTTTGTAGTTTTTGAATGACAGGCGGCTAAATCATAGTGAGATTGTACCACGGGAGTCTCATGGAGCCTAAGGTTACAGTAATGTTATTCTCACAATCCTTTTATTTAAAAAATTAAGATATTATACATTATTATATATTAAAGTGCCTTGAGTGCACTAATATTAACTGTACGGCTTGATAAAATTTTTACAGATGGATACCAACCAGATCCGGAGACAGAACGTTTCCAGCTCCCAGTAGGTTCCCTCGTGCCCCTTCCATTCCCGGGGTCACCATTATTCTAACTTTTCTCACCATCGATACGTTTTGTACGGTATTATTGCGGCACGATTGGTCCGCGGCGCTGGACAAGACGCACGCTCGGTTTCCTCGCTAAAAAGCATCCCGCCGAGGTTGCAGGAGTCCACAGAGCCGCGGCTCCCCTCTCACGGACCCGGCGCGGGACTCCACGTAGGCGCTGCGGGAGCACGCCACAATGGCTGCCCGCGCTCTCCCACTCCGGTCTCGCCGCATTCTCCCACCTTGCGACGGGCAGCCGGGCGTGGCCCTGGGCGGCCACCCGCCGGAATAGGAGCGGCCAAGCGGGCGCTCCGGAGCCCGGGATGAGGGGCGCGCGCCCATTGGCTGAACTTTTCCCCCGTGGACGGGCCGGCCGCAGAGCCCGCCTCCCGGCCCTCTCTCGGCGCTCCCGTTGGCAGTTCGCGTCCCACCCGCGCCCGCCCCCGTCCCCAGCCCGCGGTGATGGAAACGGGGTTGCGGGGGGGCGGGAGGCCGAAGCGGGGAGGCGGGGGTGAGCTTTCCTCCCGGTAAGGGGGCGCGAGAGACGAGACAGGCCAATCAGGACAAGACGTGGAAAAGAGGCGCCGCGCCAGCCAGTCACATCGCGAGGTCCAGGTCGGGGAGGCTGACGCGAGTGGCACAGCCAATGGGCGTGCCACTACCCGTCCGCTCTTCAGCAGCCGGTCGGGGGTGGTGGAGGAGCGAGTGAGGAGAGCGCGGCGGCGGCGGCGGCGGCGGCGGCGGAGGCGGCGGCGGAGCCATCACTGGACGGCCAGGGGGAAAGCGAGGCCCGAGCTTCTGCGTCTAGGTGAGAGGCAGCGACGCCGGGCGAGGGGAGGCCGGCCTGCGGGCCCCTCCTCGCCTGGCCCGGGCCGGCGGCTGCGGGAGCCGGGGCGGCAGGCCGCCAGAGGCGGTGGCGCTAGCCGCCGCCCCGCCCCCGCCCCGCCCCCGCCCCCACCCTGAGCCGCCCGGAGCGGGGGGCGCCCGCCTCTGCCCGGCTGGTCTGTGCGCCGCTGGGCCGGGGCCACCGCCCTCCAGAGGGCCAGGCTGGCGAGCGGGGACGCACGGAGGGGCCTGGTTTGCAGCCGCGGAGCCTTGGGGGCTCTGCCTGGTGTGCGGAGGCCGCAGGGAGGTGGTGAAGGTGGGGCGGGGTACTCAACGGAGGAGCGGGCTCGTGTGCTCCGGGGTGGCAGTCAGAGGAGGCCTGTGATTGAAGGATTTCTGGTCTGAGGGGGAAGAAAGTGATGGGAAAAGGGTGATGCTCAGAAAAGGGTGCCCGGGGAGAAGGTGCGGAGCCGGGGAATGTGGCTGGCCTTTTGGAAGTAAGCATTGATAGAGGGTGGGGGGAAATCAGCTGGGAGTGAAGGGAGGGTAGGTTTTTGAAGGTTAAGATCTCTGGACAAATGGGGACAAGTGGATTTGGAATAAGAGGCATCTACTCAAACCGGAAGGTGACTGAGAGAAGGTTTTAGGTGAGGTGTGGCTGGAAGCTGTTTGACTAGAAGGCTTTACGTGGCCAGTGAGGAGAAAGTATATAAGGAGCCGACGAAGTCGGTTTATGTACGGTAGCCGAAGGGTGTGGATCTTTTATGACTAAGTGAGCAAGAATAACTGTTCCTGTTGGGAGAGACTGGGGAGCCGGGTGTCTCAGGCAGGAGTCAGTCAATCAGGTTCATTGGTTCATTCGCTCCTCATGAGGGCCAAGCACTCAAAAGTTAACTCTCGCAACTGAGGCTGATTGTGTCTCCTTTCCCCACCCCCGTGATAGTTCGTCTAATTGTTTTGCCACAGCAGCACACAAACTCGCCGTCTCTAAAGTAAAAGCACACGTATTGTTTGCTTTTGATTGGATGGCAATGAGGAGTCACTTAATTCTTTATGTTTTTAAAAAAATCAAGAATGTGTTGGTTTAAAGGCAGCCTCAGAAGGTCCTTTCAGAAAATCTGCCCTGCAGGGGAGTTTCTCAACTATTTTGTGTGATATAGCATAAAAATGACGCAAGATCTCTTAGAGTAACACAGTGAAAATTAACACATAAGTACAGTTCCGTTACTGTAGGATCACCCACTTCAATGCAGTAGAATTTGAGTATGTATCATACTTGTTGGGAAGTTTTTTAGTCTTGGGAAGAGTGTTGTAGCAAAATACGTTCAAAGTTCTTTTCACTTAGAGGAAAGAAAGATGGTATGTGTGTATCACTGCTTGCTGCCTCTCAGTTTAAAGCTTTAGGAGTTTTTATTTGTGGGGTGTGGGTGGAGGTTGGGGGCAGAGAAGAGGTAGTAGAAACGAAAGTGGCCCACTACACATTTTCAGTGGATTTAAATGGGAGGAGGTGATAGGCACTGAGATAAAATTTCTGCTTGAGGATAGGACAAAAGGATTGTGAAGAGTTAAACACTTTTTGACAAACATGAAGTGCTGAGGACAGAAACCAAAGAGGGCATATGCTGTATACGATATGTCCTTAGCATCATAGCTAATGGACCATTCTTTAGGAGGTAGAAATAATTTTGTGGAAGTAATTTCTTGGTACTGCTTTTCACTGATCACATTTTACCCTTAGTATAACAGAATATCTAAGTGCTAAGGCCACTCAGAGCAGAGAAAGAATAATCCAAGTGGTGTGGAGATAATCAGGGAAGGTTTCCAGGAAGAGGTGAGTTTTGAGACATCTTTGGAACTAGGAGTTTGGTTGTGTGTTATTGCAAAACAAGATGACATTCTAGTAGTTTGGACATGCTATCAGCAACTGTGGACAAGAATGACACATTAAAAATAGTTTTAAGGAGGAGGGAAGATTTGAATGAAGATTTAAGAGTAAGGAGATCAATTATGTCTAAGGTTGTAGCTTAGTTGAAAAATAATGGTTCTGTCTGGTGGCTAGGAGAGAAGAATTAGAATAGTTAATGATGGAGACAGTAAGGGAAAGAGCACGAAAATATTTTTTGGTATTTTTGGTAAGAAAATATGTTGATAAGTTGGGTTATTAAGAGGGAGATTTGGTGTTCAACCATAAAATAATCAGAAACATTTTTGAGTCCTGTAGTAGATTGTGTTGATAATAATAGCAAAATTTATTGGGTGCCACTTTGTGCCAGACACTGTTTTGAGCTTTTTGAGCATCATCTTTCTTTGATTATCACTGTTTCATAGATGAGGGCACAGAGATTCAGAGAGATTTAATTTGCCCAAGGTCACACAGCTAGTAGGTGGCAGGTCAGGATTGGCAAAGTCAATAAATATTAATTGAGCATATGCTTCATGCCAGGCACTGTGTTAAATGCTGGAGGTTCAAAGTTGACAAGCAAATCCAAAGGTCAGGCTGGAGGCACTTTTTTGGAGGTTGTCAGGAATTAATAGAAGAGAACCAGTGAAGGAAGAGAAAAAGATGAGTTGGAGAGACTCTTGTAGGCACTGAGGAATATACTGTTTTGGAAATCTTAGGATAGAAATAGTTTTAAAAGAAAGAGGAAGTAGTCAACCGCAAAATACGTAGCTCAGAGACTCAGAAGAACAAAGACTGAGAAGAAACCGTTGAGTTAAGTCAGGAAAAAACTGGTGTGAATTTAGTCTCAAAAACCAGAATTAAGATAATAAGGTATAGGTAGATAGTTACTCGTGTTTAGTGGCAAGTGCTCTATACAAATTTAAAATATGATGGCAGTTATGGTCATATTCATAGGACAGATGTTGGTATGTCCCTTTCTAATATTTTAATCTTTGGCTGCTAAGATCATGGGTGGTTTAAAAATGCTCATACTCTTTGTATTTTCCAAGTTTAAAAAAAGCATTACTTTTATAATTAGTGGGGGAGAAAATCATTCCACTCAAATGAGCTAATAGGGAATATGTGGGTGGGCTTCTCTGAATTATGTTTGGGGAAGGGGAAAAGATGGTCTTATTTCAGTGTGTACTGCTGCATATGAGATACTTTGGTAGCTACATTCCTGTCTTGGAACTGACTAGACATATTCTGAATCTGTATATACAGAAAGATGGCATTTGCTTCATCTGAGGGATCGGTTTACTAAATCACCTTGAAGCATGGAGATAGGGTCTTGCTTTTTCTGAACATTGTTTTTTTAGGGTTTAATAAACGAATTTGAGGTTAAAAGCACACCACTCATTCGATTGAGTCATTTTAACTGTGTCTTTTGGACTTTATACCCTTCTTTCTTCCCACACATTGGTTCTGTAGTTCCTCTCTTAGTGGGTTTGTAATGGGCTTAGATTTTCAGTTCAGTAAGACCATATGAAAGTGCTGAATTTACATATAACTAATTTAGCTTAAAATTTGTCATTGTTTTCTGTTCCCAATTTGAAGAAGAAAAGAGACAGATTTCAAGACAATGACATAAGCTTCTCTAATCAAATAATTATTCGAAAACAAACTAGTAGGATTTGCCCCAGGATCAGTAGTTTTATTCCAGTCTCTAAAATGGAGATGGAGGAATCTTTTAAGTCAAGAATAGGATCTAATTTTTAGTTTAATTTGGCCCATAGGGATTGTGGGAGGAAATTTAATATTTCATCTAGGTACTGTGCTATGTTCCTTAAATAAATTATTACATTTAGTTCTCATACAATTCTCCAAGGTGGATAACCTATTACAGATGAGAGAATGAGGCTCAGAGAAGTTAGTAAGTGACTTTCCAAAGGTTGGAGAGGTAGAAGCAGAGCTGAGATTCAAACCTTGCTTTGTGGAAAACCAAAGTCCACGCATATGAGATAAAAGACAAGAAAGACTTGTTTATATTAATATCTACAATTGAAAAAAAAATGCCACATAGCCTTAGGTGTTTAGTAACTGTTACCTTAGAGGATGGGACTGTTGCTCTGTGTGTTTGCTTTGTGACACTGGCTCTTTTTTTTTTTTTTTTAAGATTTTATTTATTTATTTGAGAGAGAGAGAATGAGAGACAGAGAGCACAAGAGGGAAGAGGGTCAGAGGGAGAAGCAGACTCCCCGCTGAGCAGGGAGCCCGATGCGGGACTCGATCCCGGGACTCCAGGATCATGACCTGAGCCGAAGGCAGTCGCTTAACCAACTGAGCCACCCAGGCGCCCTGTGACACTGGCTCTTAAATAATGGTGATTATTATGTGTCTTTTAAGGTGCATTATATTACCTTTAGAGGTACGTGTTTTCACATTTTGGTATTTTTTGAAATGAAGATGTAATTTACAGTGTCTTTAAAAATGTTTATGAAATGGGCACCTGGGTGGCTCAGTTGGTTAAGCGACTGCCTTCGGCTCAGTTCATGATCCTGTAGTCCCGGGATCGAGTCCCGCATTGGGCTCCCTGCTCAGCAGGGAGTCTCCTTCTCCCTCTGACCCTCCCCCCTCTCATGTACTCTCTCTCTCATTCTCACTCTCTCAAAA